CCATCAGTGGCCTTCAGCATAGACCCCTTAACTGGTCCATTTCCAAGACTCTGCCTAAGTCTAAAGTCAAGTTCTTGAAGAAGGTCCAAAAGTACATCACTGCCAAGGAGGTCGAAGCTAAAAAACACCTCCAAGATTTGAAAGCAGGGACTAGTGACAAGGATGGTGAGAAGAGGCTATCAGTCCCTTCCGTTGACAAGTACACGCCACTAAACTCCTCCTGAATTCACATATTGATACAAGTAGGGAAAGAGGAATTCATGAAGTGGCCAGCTAAATTGAAGAGGAACATGAGAAGGGATAACCCCAAGAAATACTGTAAGTACCACCACGACACCGACCATGACACTGAAGACTGTTATGGACTCAAGAACGAGATCAAGTCCTTCATCTGCTACAGGCACTTAAAAGATTATGATGAAGGCGGCGCCCTAGCTTCATCCTCGCAATAGCCACAGGTCGGGCCCCACACTCATCGCCCTCTGGCCAGAGTCATTGAAGTCATAGTCATGGGCTCAACATCAAGGGGAGCATCCACCTCATCTCGAAAGGCATACGCTAGGCAATATAACATTCAGAGCTAAGCACCAAAGAGGCCAAGGCTGGAGGACCTCATATCCTTCTCAGATGATGACCTACGGGGGGTATCTATGCCCTACGACGATGCGCTGGTGGTGTCAATGATCATCGCCAACTACATGGTGAAAAGGATCCTCATAGGCAACGGCTCCTCGGTCGATATTTTGTTCTATGAGAGATTTGAGAAGATGCAGCTAACAACAGACCAACTGTAGCCTATTAATGTGCCATTCGTCGGGTTTTCTGGAGTAGCTATCAGACTTGAAGGAAATCTAAGCTCCTGACGGTGCTCTCATACCATAAAAAGATAAAACAAGAAGAACAAAACTTTGCAAAATCAACAGTTTCATCATCAAGTTCGAATGGATTAACCCATGATGTTTAAAAGAATAAAATATAGCTAAAACAAAAAAACGACCCAAAAACTATTTACTGGATTTAACAATTTAGTGGTTCAATTGTTTAGGTTTGGGTCATTAACAATTTGTTGAATAAGTCAATGTTTTTTCTTTTTTCTTGAAAAATTCTAAGTCAAGTATTCATGCAGTCTACAATCATTGCCTTATGAAATATAGAATCATATGGTTAGTTGTTAGTGGACTTCTAATAATTACTAACAACTAGTTTCTCATTTGATATTCTAAGTTTTATTTTCTATATAAAGCCTTATAATTTCAAGTTAGAGGCAATCAAGTTATTTTCATTTGTTTTGAGAAGCTTAAAGCTTTGTTTGATAGATGAGAGAGTCCTCTCTTTGGGTGAGTGAGTTTCCTCCTCTTTTAGTGAATGAGTCTCCAAATGGTTCGACCACCTGGGTTAGCGACAACTTTAAAACCATGCAATTAAGTGGATTAACTAATTCATTAAGTAAATTAAGCTAAGTAAATAGAACAATTAAAGAAGTTAAGCTAATTAAACAAACTATGTAAATTAAACAATTGAATAAGTAAATTAAATTAATTAAGGAAATTAAGTTGATGAGTAAATTAAATAAACAAATTTAATCAATATAAATAAGTAATTAAGCCAATTAAGTAAATTAACTAATTGATTAAGTACATTAAGCTAAGTAAATAAAGCAATTAAAGAAACTAAGCTAATTAAACTAAATAGAGTAATTAAACAATCAAAGCTAATTAAGGTAAATAAATAAATTAAGTTACTGTTAATTAAATAAAGTAATTAAAAATATAGGAAAATTAGTTTGATTAGAAAATTGAGTTACTAAGTTAATTAAGTAATTATTAATTTAATATTAATTATGCTAATTAAGCTAGTGTTTAAGTAATAATTAACTATTGTTATTTCAATGATTCTAATTTGATAAAACTCCTTGAAGTAATTTATTTCAAGGTTAATAAAATTTAATTTTTAATTAATAGAATTTTTAGGGTCTAAAATGATCTTTTAAAACCTTAACAATGCCACATAATCATTCTCCAAACAATGTCTATTAATTTTTTACTAGAACCAGTGATCTTTTCACCAAAGTCTATGATTGAAAGTCGCATTTTATTTTTAAGGGTTGTAAAAGCCAATATATATATACAATAATTGTCAAAAAATGCCTTGCACCAATACGGGAAGGAACTTGGTAAGCTCCCTAGATATCAGTAATGTAATAGTGCAAAGGGAATACATCAATTACTAGTACTTAAAGAAATGGTTGTCTAGTGAGCTCGGTTACAGACATCATAACAAGAATTAGAAGATGTGTAAATCACTTAATAAAGGCTGTCCGTCAGAAGAAGCAAGACCTAAACGGAGGTGCCAATGTGCAATATGTCTGAACTGGGACAACTGGGTGGGCAGTATGTAATGTATATAGCTAGCTGCCCAAGGTGCAAAGTGTGGGAAACAATAAGGCAGTACAGTTCATGAAATGATGTGAATCCCCATTTCCTGCACTTGTTTGGTGGGTGCCATGCTGCACTTCCCAATAAGATTCTTACCAAATTCAGGCGGGTTTTCTCTCAAGTTAAATAGAAACGTATAATATTTTCCACTTAGAAATAGCCCAAAAGATTATTTATGAATTAATAAGATAGAAATAAAATCTTTAAACCTGTTTTGGAAAGAACGGCCAACAATAAATCAAAAAGTTTAAAACATTTATTAAAAGCAACTGAACACATTAGACCGATTATCATTGACAAAAGAACCCCAAATATGAAAAAACAAAAAAGAAATTAATAAGTTATTCATGAATCGTTTTGAAAAATAATGGATGGGGATTCGTCCTCTCATATTCGAGGCTATTTATGATCTCTGATCCTTGCCCAGTAGATGTGAAAGGAGCGATGAGACTTCCCAACGCTACTTAACAGTTTAAAATAAAATTCCTGCTTGAAGATGAAAGGGCGGTCTGCAATCATTAATGGCGTTTGCGCAACTATATGATATGAGGTCATTAATTCAACTATATTGTTTATAGACCATTGATTTAAGCCAAGGCAAATGATTTGGGAACAACTATATTTCACAAATCACAAATAGGGGTTACGCTACATCCCCCTATTCCCTGCTCCATGCTAAAATAAAACAAATTTCTCATGATGTCTGTTGTTGTTTCATTGGAAGGTCACAAGGTGCTGTTAGTGCTACTATTATTTATTATTTGTTTTTTTCTTGGAGAATAATAAATTGGTTTTCTGTAAACTAGTGGAAGATGCAGTGCTATGCATGCTATACACATGTGCAAAGATATAAAGTATTTACCATATACCATATGTGCTATTTCCAAAGCTAATATATTTATATAATAATATAGATAAAGTTATAAATTTACTGTACAGGATTTTTTTAGACATTTCAATTCTCCATGGGAGGTTGTTTACAGTCGGATCAGGGTAGGTACAACCGCACAACGCTATAAAGCACGTTATATCCCACGTTTTTATTTTCAGTTTTTATGGTGTAGGAATTCTACTATATTCAAAAGAGTTTTTTCTTTATGAAGCAAGTATGATGTCAAAAAGATTTTTTCAAGTAGTGGTTCACAATTTGACTTGATACAATGTCATTTAATTTTCTAAGGCAGTGTTAACAAAGAAGAGATATCTCAGATCTGAGATCACTCTGACAAGAGAGAGAGAGAGAGAGAGAGAAAGAGATTTGAGATCTAATGAGATATGAGATGAGATTTGTGGTTACCACTATTATTTGTTATCGTTGTTGTTGCTGCTATTGCTGTCGTCATCCCTGGTGAATCGCCTCCTCTTCCTCCTCCTTCTCCTACTTTTCTTTTTTCCTTTTTCCTTTTTTGTTCCTTCTTTTTCCTTTTCCTTCTTTTTGTTTCTTTTCCCATTGACAGCCACCTACTTCTCTCTTTAATTTCTCATAAAAAGAGTAATATATATAATATATATGTATACCCTTTTACCCTATTCAGCCTCTTTTCTAGGTCTAATTTTTATAAAACCAGCAAATTGATCAAAACCATTGACTTGGTCAGAGACCCATTGACATGAGTAGTTGAACCATTGACCCATCCAAACCAATCATCGGGTCACATATTATATACTACAATGTATTGAAACTTGCAGATGCCATAACTTTGTGTTTGGTTGTTAGATTGGGATGTTTTTTTTTTAGATTTTCGAGTAATTTTTTAGATCCAAGTGTCCTGTTATTTTTACCAAAATAGCATTTTTGGAATCAAATCTCAAATTTCATCTTTTTTATTTACAAAAAAATATAAATATAAATTAGACCTAATATAAACAATATATATACATATATTATATGTAGAAACATAATATATAATATGTACACAACTAAAAAATTTATTTTTTTCACAAGCTAAATTACATTCATAATAATATTAGAGACTGCTCTTCCTTGTATTGTATACTGTGTAGGACGACTAGTAATATGTAGTTTTGTTGCGGCCAAAAAGAAAAAAGACATGTTCTCAATTTTCAATTTTTTATTTTTAATCAAACCAAACACAGCTTTTATGAGATACTGGAAAGTGCAAATGAAATTAAAATAAAATAAGACCTAAAGCAAATAGAAAGCTAACTGTGCATTACAGTACAATTCTATTTGTATTACAATACAAATGAAATAAAATAAGACCTAAAGCAAAATAAAGTAAAAGCTAAAATAAAATTAAACTAGAATTTGCATTCTTTCCATTTGCACTCCTATACATTTGTACTAGTGCAAATAGAAATGTACTGCAACCAAACACAAAGAGAGAAGAGGAGAAAAGAATAGGCTTTCTCCCCATCGTGTTTCATCGGGGGTAATACCTGGAATTTCTAAAAGTTGGGGGATAGGGACGGAATGAAAAAAATTAATAAAAAAAAAAAAAAGGCTTTTTCAATAAGCCCTTAATAAAAACAAAGATGAAAACAGACTCAATGAAACAGAATCCAAGATAATCAAACAGACACAATGAAACAAAGATGAAAACTCTACTTGGGGAGTAGGGAATAATACCCATCGAATTCTAGGCCTGAATCGCTCAATTTTTCCCGCATGAGTTGGTCTAACCTTTTCACCATTGGAGGCGTCAGATAGTTCATCCAATCTCCTACCTCACCTCTCCTAAACAGTGAATTACTTTCATAGCCAGGAATGAAACACCCCGTCTTATTCACCTCCAAATTTCTCAAGCTTTCAAAACTACAGAGTCTTACGATTTCTTCTATCACGCCTTGTCTTCCTTCCTCCAGAGAAAAAGGGCATCCCAAGAAGTCTGCAATCCTCCTCAGCTGAGACACAATATCTTCCTTGAGTTCTTCATACCTCAGAAACAGAACATTCCGAGGCCTTGTTAAGCTCTCATTCCAATACCCCAACAAATGATTCCAGTAGGGTCCAAACGGGATAACCCCATTACAAAACCACTCGAAAGCTTCCTCCAACGAAAGAGGCCCAAGAGATTCACGCCTCGATGACTTGTTCACGAAATGCCAGGAAGAGATGAATGTGTCTCTTGGGTTGCGGCACAGATATATGATTCGACAGTTTGAGTTCTTGGTGGTTTCTGGCAGCAGTTGGTAAGGAATATGGGTAGCAAAAACTCTGGGATGAGATATGTTGCTGAGATTGGGAAGCTGATTGTCTGTATACAGCTTTAGTTCAAAGAAAGGGACGAGTTCATGAGGGTTAGCAGTCAGCAAGGGATTGTCAGAAAACGAGTACTTAGTCCGGTTCACAGTAGCAAATACAAGAGATTTCAACCAAGTAGTACCTGATTTTGGCAAAGTGGCTAGAATTATGTCACGGTCACAAGACTTGAAATTGCTCTGGAACCACAACACTGCCTCTAATCGGCGTTCTATGAACCAAAAGCCTTGGTGTTGGTAGAGAGGATCCTCAATCCACTCCTCCACTCTTGTTCTGGGAGGGGAAGAAGCATGCATCTCCTGGCATTCATGACTCAGGCCTACTTCTTCTGGACTGTGTGAAGGAGTAGTACTGTTTTGGGTGGCTAGATTATTGGCCTCAGCCATGAAAATGGTGTGTTAATTAATTTGGATGGTCTATACAAACAAGTCTCACCTAAGTAGTGGATGAGGATAGTTGCATGTGATGGTATCTGTACCTAATCAACCTAGAATGAGAACCGCTATCCCTAAAAAAAAGGAGAAAATCAAGAATTTTTCTCCTTTTTTATTTTTTTATTTCATGTCACTTTTTTAAAGAATCAATGAGATGCTCTCATTTCTCATGAAAAATTATCTAAAATCTCTCTCTCTCTTATCCATATGTTCCTAACAATCTCTTCTCCTAAAATTTATCCTAAACTATCTCCCCCACTTTCTCCTAAATCATCTCCAATTCCTATTTATCTCCTAACTTATCTCTAATTTACTAGAACATTTCTCTCCAAATTATCTTTAATTCCAATTTATCCTCTTTGCCACTTTTTACCTATATCCATCTAAAGAAAGTTTAAATTATAAAATTTCTCTCCAAATTATCTCTAATAAACTTTAAAATAATTATTAAAAACACAAAAGATAATTATAATAGATTTAATAATATTCATATTATTAATAGTTTTATATTTCTACATAATTCATCATGAAATTATGTACTAATAATATAAATTATGATTTTCCAGATTACACAAATTAAATGTTATTCAAATAATAGAAATTTAACATTAAAAATAAAATATTATTTCAATATTTCAATAACTAAATATCTTAAATTCAAATAATGAGTACTTCTAAATATTTTATATATTATTTAAATATTTAAATAACTAAATATGTTAAATAACAAAATATTTAACATAACTATATTTTAAATAGTTAAAATAACAAAATTATCAATAAAATAAAAAAAAATATTAAGATAAAAAATCATAACATAATATTCAAAATAATAATAATTTAATATTTTTACAAAATAAAAAATGAAATTATGTAATAATAGTATAAAAGATAAAATATTTATTAAAAACACAAAAATAATTATAATAGATTTAATAATATTCATATTATTAATAGTTTTAATTTTTTACAAAATTCATCACGAAATTATGTACTAACAATATAAATTATGATTTTCTAGATTATTTAAATTAAATTTTACTCAAATAATAGAAATTTAACATTAAAGATAAAATATTATTTCAATATTTCAGTAACTAAATATATTAAATAATAAAATACTAAAAATATCTAAATAATTACATAGAAAAATATTTAATTATTTAAATATTTCAATAACTAAATATCTTAAATTCAAATAATGAGTATTTTAAACATAACAGATTCACCTTACTTGAAGTTTGAACGAAGTGCTAAATCTGTGTTGATAGGTAAGACACCTTTCAAACAGCGCCAAAAGGAAAAAGAGGACACGAGATTGTAGAGATCTCTTCTTCCAAAGCTCTTTCCAAGATAAGTCCTGAAGTACATAATTTTAAGTGCTGACTTTCACCTGAACCTTTCATTGGTACTGCCTGGTATATGGCTTCCATGTCTAGTGGCAGAGTTTTTTTGGGTGAGTAGAGGAACATGAACACAAGATTGTTAAGTCCTAGGGTACAGGGGTGATTGAATGATCTGCAGGGCCGGCCTTGGGCCAATTTTGAAAAGAATAAGGCGGTGTTCGGAATTGCTTAAATCTCGTCTACGGGATTTGGTTGCATTCGACTGGGCCCAATATAGCGTGGACAGGTCCCGTCCACACCCCAATTTCTCATCCATGGTAAAATCTCGTGGTTGGAGACCGTCCACACTTGATTTTTGATCCCCTACTTCACACTTTCCCTGAAAGGCTACTCTATTGTCTATTCACATTTTAATATTTTTATCAATAAAATATTAATTATTTTACTTAATTTTTATTTTAATGTTTTATCAATAAAATTATATTTTGAATATTTAGAATATATATATTTTTTAATTTTTAATTATTTTTTTAAAATTAATATTTATTGGTTAATATTAATTCATTGATGCATTTTTCAATATATTTATCATATAAAATGCAAAAATTAGATACTTATGATTAACTATGTAGATCAAGGTTTTCGAATTGTCGTTGACCCGGAAGGTCGTACCATTTAGCCCGGGAACCGTCCAGGCAAGTGGTTCCATTTTACCCCAAACCCGATTTTTGGCTAAAAACCATTGAAAAAGTCAACAACCCATTGACTCAAGTGATCAAACCATTAACCCGTTCAACGGTTGTTTACCATTTTTTATTTCTAACTATTTTTTATTTTTTTAATTTGTTTGTCTAAACGAGCCGTCCATTCGAATCGGACGATCGGACCATCAACCCGGAAACTAATGGCAAAAACGGTTCCATTTCTGGGTCATTTTTTAAAATATTGGTATAGATCATTCATAAAATGTACATGAGATACATGGAATCAAAAAAGTGTTGTATAGACTGGTTCACACCACACTACAGTGTAAGTGTGGACTGGTCCAATCCATATAATTTATCCATAATTCAGAACAGCTGTGGACTATGGTGTATCCTATTACAAAGTATGATATACATCAATCCACATCCATAAATTTTTAATCCACACTAGAGAACACCCCCTAAATCCGCATGTCCGCACCCAACCTTGCTTGTATCAAAATCTTGGACCTCCTCCTAGCCTCCGATACAACCCGGTCGGACACCCGACCTTGAAGATTTTGATTCTTGACATTAATTTTGTGTCAATTTTTATAGGGGTTCTAAAGATAAGGGCAACTTTTCGCCCTGAATATCAATAAGATAACATTTTTATAAAATAACAAAAAAAGGTAATTCGTTTTTAAAAATATGAAGGAAGGGCAACGATACTGTTCATTGTCTTCCTCTGCGTCTCCCCTTCCTCCGCCTCCTCTTACTCGTATGCAGCGCCGCTACCGTCACTACCCTCGTCAGATTTCCAGATATTGAGGTCAGCTGCTCATGGGATCCTGTAACCTCCAACTCAAAGTGGTCTCCTGCAGACATCTGAAGGCCTTCGATTTCTTCCAGAAGCTTTCCATCTATGCTGTCATCTCCATCGTCAACGATGAATCATGGCAAAATCAATCACTTCGGCTGTAGAAGCAGAAAACACCAATCGACAGAAATGGAGACGGAAACCCCGAATGGAATCACGAGATGGAATTCGATCTAAAACATATCTCCTTCCTTGATTGCGATCACGTCTTTATCGAATTTGATTTGCGCTGCGACGGTATCATCTTCGGAGATAAGAACATCAGAGAAGTTCGTGTCCCGTTCAAACATCTCGTGGATGAGTTTGATGGATCCGTGAGGTTCGTCAGTTATCAGGTCCGGCCTGTCGATGGAATTAAAACCAAATGGAGTTTTGAATTTCTCTTATAAACTGAATGATAAAGGGAAGAAGTATCCGGCACGCGAGAACGAGAACGGTGGCTTTCCGGAGCCGTCAGTTGAGGCTCACTATCCATCGCCTCACATCAATAACCTCGCACCGGCAATTCATTATCCGTACCCGGACATAAATTATGTACCACCGCCGGCAACCGGAATTCATTATCAGGCCCCAGCGGAGGTTTATTACCCGGTCCCAGCTCCACCCCCGCCACCTCCTCCGATAGCGCAAGTGGCATATTATCCTCCTCCGCCGCTGACGTCGATGTTATATCCAACGCCACCGGAGTGGAACAGATTGGGATCTGGTTACGGTGGGTACCACTACCAGGAGGCTGTGGGAGGACAGTCAGGGACGGCTTTTACTGACACGTGGGGAGAGTATTTACGAGAGAAGGGAGAAAACGTAAGGAAGTTTTGGAATGGCAGGTGAGGAGGTAATTACGGCCCTGAGGGACTTGGTTATTGTTATTACTTGTAAAAATGTTATCTTTTATTGAAATCAAAACCCCATCACCGGAGAGCTGACGAGGGTGGTGACGGTAGCGGCGACGCATACGAGTAAGAGGAGGCGGAGGAAGGAGAGACGGAGAGCTGAAACCGATATATTCGCGAGGAAGACAATGAACAGTACCATTGCCCGATATTTTTCAAAACTAAGTTAGGGCGAAGAGTTGCCCGCTAAAGATTGCATTTGGAATCAGTGTAAAATGTCATATATCGAACCATGAGGAAGTGGCGTTACATCAAATGTAAAATTTTACATTTGATGAGATTTTACATCGATTCATCACATAAAATTCTACCTCATCCAAACGCAAACAAATTTAAATCAAATTAAAATTTTATACTAATCTTCATTTACACTCTATCCAAACCCCGATAAAATTGAACTGGCATAAACTTTTATATTATTCTTGATTTACATTGCTTCCAAATGCAGCCTAAGGCAATGGACCCCAAATCCAAATTCTTCTTTGAATGGAGAATCGGCCTATGGTATATTTTGAATATTTGTTATATATTAAATCAAAATTCCAACCAATCATATTGAACATGCTACCAAGTAAGACAAGGTATACTTTCAATTTCAATGCCATTTTTATCTTCAATAGATTTTGTTTTTATCAATGCTCTAAAAGCTAGACAGCTAGGCAATGAAAAAGCAAGCTACAAGCTTGTCTATGACTTGAGCACAACTTTGTAATTGGGAGTAATGGCAAGTTTGGGATTGCTTATTTGAAAAATGTCCTTATTGAATAAGTGCATAAAAACAAGTAGTTATTCTAATTGAGTATTTGGTAAAAAACACTTATTTTAAGCAGGTATAGTATAGGTAATTTTTTTTTTAAATGACATGACGGGCCAAGATTGGCCAAAAAGAAAATAATCACTTATTGAATAAGCACTTAAAAATATGTTCAAAATTTGGGTTATCCAATAAGCACTTATTTTTAAAACAAGAACTTATTTTGGAATTCTTTCCCAAATGCAAATAAGTGTTTATGGGTGTGGTCCTGGTCCAAAATAAATGCTTATTTGAATAAGCACTTATGTTTAAGCACTTCCAAACTTAGTATAGGCTTTCCCTTTAGGCAATGTTTAGTTTGAAGAAAAAAGATGGGAAAGGAAGGGAAAGACAGGAAAATTAATACAAGGTTTGTAAAGACTTTCCTACTTTTCCCTTCCTTTCCCTCCCTTTTTCTTGAAACCAAACACAGCCTTTAGGATCAAATTTGACTACTGAATTCCAAGTTCGGGGACATGGGATTTAGGCTATGGAACCCAGATGCAGTTTACATTTATTAGGCCAGTGTTAAGGTGCAGAAAAACACTTTTTTTGTTAGCAGCAAGAAGAAATAGTTTCAGCAAGCTACAGAAAGAGATTCAACGAACCATTTACATTAACATTGCAAAGTAAGAACTAGTTTTAACATTTGGTAGAGATAAAGGATCAGGGGAAAACTAAACAAGAACTGCATCTGATCAATAAAACTGGAATATGTTAGATTTGATTCATTGATTAAAGTGAAGACTATGAAAATCATTTTACAAAGCAAGACGCTCTTAACTTTTCAAATCAATGTCGAAGACTCCAATTTGATGAAACAAGCTTTGCAAGTCCAACTAGTGAACGCTGAAGGGGCCAATCGAAATTTGAAGTAAGATTCTTAGGTTAAAAATTCCAAGACTTGCACAACGAAAAGCAAACACACTTATTATATACATTTGCGTTAGCTTTTGAAGCACAAAAGCAGAAAGTCCCAATTTTAGGTTTTGGGTTTTGGGGCTTAAATGTATTTTTTTTTCTAGATTATTGATTATAAAAATCATTTCTATTTTAAAATTCACCTAAAAACAATACAAGTTTATCTAAAATCACATAACCCAAAAATAATACTTAAGTTGGACTTGACCAACTATTCCCAAATGGAAATGTCTTAATGCTCCTTATACTTTAATTCAATTAGCAAAGCCTCATGCATTTGTAACATAATTGTAATTAATAAAAAATAAAACTATAATTTATATAAAATTAATAAAAATGTAGAACTTAATAATATTTATCTAAAAAATAAATATTAATGAAAATAATGAAATTTATCGAATAATGCATTAACACAAAAGGATGCTTGGGGTGAATTCGGTTTGGCTTGGCCCCCATTAGGAATACTATAAGATTCCTTCTACTTTAATCTCTATTAACAAAGCCCATTCATCGCACTGGTCTCAACTAATATTATATATATTTTATCTGTATTATATCATTTATATATTATACATATGCAACTATATTTTATTATATGATAAATATTTATTACTTTATACAAATGTGAAACTTTTAAGATGTAAATATTCATGAATTGACAAGTGTCAAAAATGTGCCAACAACACATGAATCAACAAAATATGAGGTTTGTCTTGCACAAGGCCAACAATACATGAATCAACATGCCGTCTTAAGGCTTAATCCCTTTAGACAGATTTTCTTGTAGTGTTGTGTATTTTTGGAATTATTCAACGAAGTAAAATCATCACTAGAGAATGTCGTCGTCGGAAAATTTGAATATGTTATTTGTTGTCCATGTGAGAATGTCATCATGAAAAGATATTCGGTTACTTGAGAATGATCTCAGAAATATACAAGAAGGGTATTTTTGGCATTATGTAATGTTTAACTAATGGAATACTAATGGATGGACCTATGTGTCTATTTTTGAAAGTTCAGGATACTCAAGTGTTGCAATTGAAAATTCAGGGTACCTATCTGTCACTACCCCCAAAATATAAGGTATCTATTTGTGATTTATGCATATTTTTATTTCAAAAAAAAAAAAAATAGAAAAGGTGGAATTAGACTTTTACCTTATTGACAAGGGTTTCCGCACATGCATCCTTTCTACCTTCCCTACCTTTTCTTTCAAACCAAACATAGCATTAAGGCACATATATAATTTTTAAACAAATTCTTCATGAGATCCTGTGAAGCCCTATTTGTCACTGGGGCAAGTCTGGGATGGATCAGGGTAGAAAGCCCATTCCCAACCCAACAAAAACACTCAGACCTTATAGTCTGTGAGTAATAGATATTGGGTTTCAGGCCAGTCCTGTTCAAATTTTGGGAAAGTTCAACCCAAGCCCGGCCTATGAGCAGCTCTATTGATGATGCGGCTTTAGCCCCTTTAAAACAGGCAGTTCAGGTCCTTTGAAACAGGCAGTTCAGGTCCTTTGAAGAACAGGGGTAACCAATGATTTGAAGAACAGGGGAGAACAAGATCATCATCAAAGCAATAATGTTATGTTTGGTTTGAAGTAGGGAAAGGAAAGGAAAGTTAGGAAAACCTTCACAAACCTTGTATTACATTTTCCTACAACCCAAACATAGCCTAAAAGATGAGGAAGAATTTGATCGAAAAAAGTGAAGCACAATTAACAGAAATAAGTAAATTTAAGGGTGGTTTCTTGAGGGTGCAAGGGTGATTTCTTGAGGGTGCTGCCATGTAATTGGTAACAATTGCAGCTACTGTTAAGGGGCAGTCAAGTGACAAGTATATGGGGGTCTAAGACAATGTTAACATTTAAGCCATGTTAGGCTTGATGGTAAACAACAGAGAAACTGAAAGCTGAGGGAAAGATGTCAAGTAAGTTCTGGCCTGGGTTTTGAACTTTTGATTGATCTGGGCTCTTCCTACTCATCCCAACCTGAATTTTCAAACCCGGGATTGGCCCAGACCCCAAAAATTGAAGGCCAAACCCATACCAAGAATGGACCGGTAGCTGAGGCACTCACCTAGTGTAGCAGATGAGATCCAAATATTCAACAGGTAGATCCAAATTTCATTCATTTATATTATACTGAGAAACTGATAAAATGAAATAAAAATCAAAATATTATGGGCACCCAAATGTTATATTTGTTAATTAATAAAATGAACTAAAAATCAGCATTGATATTAACAAAATACATTGAGAAAAATACTTGTACATAACCTGAACCTATGACAATCTAACGTTAAATCAACTTTACTAATAGATATAATATAAATTTTAAGTATTTAAATGGCACTAAATCAGGTTATATCAGATCAGATATGGGTAGATCAATATTTGCCCCAATTATTAACGAATCAAATTTGGCTCACCCTTGACAGGATCAAATTTGAATTCGACCAATCAGATACCATTTGCAGCCTTACATTAGTACCAAGAATGCGATGCATCACCATAGAACTTAACAAGGGAACTGCCAAAGGACAGAAATAACTATCATCACACTTTCTACAATTCTATTAAGGTAGTTTGGCGCATTGATCCACATAACCACTTTAACTTTTACTAATGAGGCTGGACTGTAATGGACCAATCATTCATTCTCAAAACAGAGGAAGAGGATGAAGACGGTTAAAATTGGAATTTGGAAATAGAGATTTTATTACACCAACATTCTACACTTGTTCACTCAGCAGGGGAAGAAATTGAGAATTAAAAAAAAGAAAAAGAAAGAAAGAAAAAGGAGATAAATGCACTACTACAATTTGTTATGAAATACAAATTTCATTTGGCAGAAAAAAAAAAGCAAAAAAAGAAAATTGAAAAATACTTTAAACTTTTTCCCCTGCAATCTCACACAACCGCTTGTACTCCATCCAAAACGACAACCCACTTGCTTCCCACCTGATTCCACTCTTGTGGTCTACTCATCAACGGCCAGGGGAACCATCTGTGCCTGAATTTTACAAATTTTGCAGAGAATAGAGAAGAATCAGTTAAGAGAAAAACAACATATTACACAAAAAAAATCAGACAAAATACTGCTGAAGGACATGAACAGAGTAACAAAATGAGAATTTTGAAAGAAAGGGGGCCTTAAAATGACTGAATTGACTGAAATGAATAACTTGTTGCATTATCTTTTGGTGGGTAAAATGGTTTCTAGGTATAAAGTAATCAATCCTTCAGGAGCTCACAACCCACTTAATGGCTTGCTCTCCAAAGACAAAAAGCAATAACTTCTTCACTTCACTAAAGCTACTTTAGCTGTTAATTATCAAAAAAGCTCCAGAGGCTGAGACTAACAGTTATCTGAAATGCAATCTCCTACAACATTTTATCTAAAATTGCAATTTCAAATGTTTGGATGGGCAGAGAAATTTACCAGCTTACGATACTTGAGAGCATAAAACATCTCAAGATATCTCCGGGTCTCACGGCGCTCAAGCTTGGAGACATACTTCCAAAAGCCATATACTCCGGACAAAGTCATCAACCTCTCAGAATAGATCTGCCATGTATACCTGTGAGAGGAAAGAGAACAAATATATCAGACTTCTTTTAAACAATTAGTGTAGAGGATCAACAAAAGGAGGTGAGCTATTACTTACTTTTCATGGATACGCTTCAGGCCGCCTTGAGAGATCTTCTCCCAATGGCTTGGGTCTTCCTTACACTTCTCAAAGAAGTGTACAAGCAGTTCTGCTGCGCGATCGCCTTGGTAGGGATCAATGTGGAAACCAGATTTCCCATGAACTATGATTTCAGCTGGACCACCATGACAGGTTGCAAATGTGGGTAAGCCACAGGTCATGGCTTCAACAACTGTCAACCCAAAAGCCTCATAGAATGCAGGCTGTACAAAAGCACCTTTTGTGTCTGCAATGTAGCGGTAGAGTTCCCCGTTTCGCACACGGTTCATCTGGGAAGAAATCCATCGGAATTGGCCATTCAATTTGTATTTCTCAATAAGCCCATACATCTTCTTCATTTCTTCTTTCTCCTCATTGTCCTTTGATTCCTTCCTCCGGTCACCAGCCACCACAACAAGGTTAACCAACTCCCTAAGTCGAGTATTCTTACCATACCATTCAACCAATCCTGTCATGTTCTTCACGCGGTCCAACCTTGCCATTGAGAAGATGATCGGCTTGCTTCGGTCGTTCAGTACACATCTGCAGAACCCCAACACAGTAATCAACATCAGCATTATCATCCAAATTAATTTAAGAAAAATGGGAAGAGGGAATAAAAGAAAGAAAGCTCACAGGTGTTCTTCATTTTCAACTTTACTGTAAAGCAGCTCCTCAATTTCTGGGTGAAGAGATGTCAATCGATTTTCCTCTTCAGTGTAGGGGAAGTAGATGCTCATATCAGCTCCAGGTGAGACTATATTGAATTTAGGATCAAAGACATCAATACCATGAACAACCCGGTAAAGCCCAGGAAGGGTAAAAGCAGTGTGACTCTCATACTGCCCAACAGTGTCCTTGCTGAAACACGGGAAGAAAACAAAATTAAGCTCCCAAATCAAAAAAAAAAAATGATTAAATACAGAATGGAAGGGAAGAAGTGGAGACAATACCTTCCAGCAATCTCCTGGAATGTGCTGGTGATAATAAAATCTGTATGGTTCATTGCGAATAGATCAGCTGTGAACTGGCAGGAGAAGTGGTATTTGTCATCCAAATTTTTCCAATATATATCTGAGTCGGGATACTTTGTTTTCTCAAGCGCATGTGCAATGGTGCACTGTAGAAGAATCAAACAAGAAACATAACAAAAAATTAGCATCTGGGGATGCAGTAACAGGAAGTTCTGACAGAAACCAACAAGACCCAGAAAGCAGTTCTGACAGAAAGTTGCACTGAACGAACCTGTGTTACTCCTAACTTGTGTGCTAGCAAAGATGCAACGAGGTTTCCATCACTGTAGTTTCCAATGATCAAATCTGGCTTGGCCTGTAACTCGCCAGCAATTTCATTTGCAACGTCCTAATAACAAGAAAACCAAAGCAGAGAAGATTATCAATTAAGAGTTTCAAGGAGAGATGAAGCACAGACTCTGATTCCATATTCAACAGAGCTTATCAGTCTGAATGAAATGTTTTTACCTCGGTATATGTCTCCAAGTATGGCCACACTTCAAAACGTGAGATCCATTTACGGACAATTCCTTTCTCAGTCCTAAAGGGAACTCGGAGAATACTACAGTGCTCTGTTCCAAAGACTTTCTCAAGGCGTTGGCCACAAGTAGTTCCTACTGCATCAGGCAGCAGTCGAGTCACCTGGGTTTAACAGAAAGATCAAGAATATCAAAACAAACGCAGAGTTCCACCCGTCTAGAGTAACATGGATCAAACCAGACTAAATAAAACCAGGAATAAGATATCTTACAATGAGAATTCGAGGGACTATATCAAGTCCTTGCTGCTTTATGCGTTGAAGCATCTCACTCTCCAAGGCACGAACTTGATCCAAAATATACACGACCTGCAGAGAAATTTCAGTAGGCAGGATTATTAACTGAGACCTGCAACTGCAAGTAACAAGGGACTGAACTAGGTTTCTCTTATATGAACATACCTGGCCTCCAGTGTCAGGGTATCCCAGAACGTTGTTCTGGGCAAAGTAACCATGGGGTGAAAGGATTACAACATTGAAGACCATAGGGATTTTCCCAAGAAATTTCTCAAGGGTACATGGATCAGGTGCCTCAAGAAGGTCCAACAGAAGATTTATCATCTCCAATACACGCTCAGCAGTGTCACCCCACCCCTTCTCCAGACCAAGCTCCTGGAACCTGTGATCAAACTCTGAATATGGCGTATCTGGAGGAACTGTGGAGAGATATTCTTCTGCCTTCCTCAAAACAGACTGGAGAGTATTGAGGTTCTGGATTCTGTCGTTCAGCATCATTGTCTGCAGAAAACCATTAAACATTAGTAACCAAAGAGACGCTAAAAGATTTCTCTAATTTGAATTCTGAAAACTTGTTGGTCAATGGGAGAGATGATCTGGGCTATTACCTTCCCCCTGTAATGGTGGACTCGGAGGAAATCAAGAAGTGGGTGCAAGCTATCTTTGTCATGAAACAGCTTAGCAGAAAGGTGCCGGTTGAGGAACTCCACACCATTTCCGATGGATTTGGAAAGAGTGGGCTTGGGAAAGGAAGCATTGAAGGGCTCCAAATCCAACTCGAGCACAAAATTGTCCTTGGGGCTGCATTGAAAAAGCAGGACAGTTGCAAACATTAAACAAAATGGGGAAGAAACAAGCAGAACAGAGCTAATCAGCCAAATTTTCCAGACTCAGAATTACCTTCCATTGACAAGATCTTCCTTGAACTGCAAATATTCAGCCACAGTCAACTCCTCCACAGCAAGAGCATTGACGTTCACACGGATGTAATCCCAGACACCAGGCCTTGGGCGCACAGCCAGAGCAACCCATGGAGGTAAAACTATTATTTCCTGAAAATGCAATAAAATATAGTCAGAAACAGAAAACAGAATCAAATGAGTAGGTCTAAAGAGTTGCGGGAAAACTCGCCTGTGTGGATCTTATGACATCTCCAAACACACCATCAAGTAGTTTTTGTCTGTCCCCTTCGGAAATCGCTCCCAACTCCTCCAACAGATGATGAGGCTGCAAAATTCCTTTGCCGTGGTATTCGATCCTATAGACCCAAATCACAGAAAAGAACTAATAAGCAGAGTTCAAGATTATGAACTTCACTGCAATAAATCAAGTATGATCATTGAAACAGAAGCAAAGAAGGAACAGAAGGCATGAGACAGAAGCCGAACCTTGACAAGAGGTGCAACAATTCGTTGCGATGAGCAGACAGGGTTTCGCCCAAACGCTCCCGAAGGCTATGAACACGAGCCAGTGCACGTTCCGCCATGGATTAACTGTAACAGAGATAAAGAAACAATAAACAGGCAGTCCAATAAGAGAGCTGCTCTTTATATAAATGAAAGCATTGACCAGAAAAATGAAACCGTGCTTAAATAAAACATCTAGATGGAAGCACCCCAAATTTCTAAGTTCTTCCCACCACGTAACTCAGAAAAATTTAGAGGGAACGGAGAATAAAAATAACGCTTCAGATATACAGGAAAGGCCCCCAAAAAAATAACATATAACGGATGAGTTTATTTACCAGAAAAGGACAAATTTTCCACAAAATTTGAAAACTAAATAAATCCACATAACGGTGGCAACGAAAAAGGAAAAATATTGTAGGAAAAGTTACAGAGGGAATTTTTTTTTTAGTTTTTTTTTCTTCCCTTTTGCTTTTGCTTTGTTCTTTCGCTTTTCTTGCGTTATTAATGTAACAGTAGAGATTAACGTAACTTTTGAATGGAAATACGAATATACTCAAATATACTCTAGTTGAAATTTCATTGGTTTCTTTCACAATGTGGACTTTTCAACTAGAAGAATTGGAGATAAAGGAGTTCTTAAATGCAATCATTTTTGTCTAGCAGAATGCCATACAATAGAAATGAAGAAGAACCGGAAGTGACCACATTTCACGAATGAAGATGTGAACTCTTCAGACGCCGGGGTACCATAAATGATCGCAGTAAATGACTTGGATTTAATGAAAAAAAAAAACAGAAAACTGATAAAGAAATGGAAGACCTTCAATGAAAAGTGTCTAATAGATTTCACTTCGAACTGATAAAGAGGAAGAAAATTATAACCAGGATGAGCAAAGATGGGTCCCATCTCGGACAGTAAAACTGATCCAAAGAGATGGTTTAGATGGATCTGATGCAGAAGCTCAAATATCAGAGTTGCTGAAAAACAGTTTTAAGTCAGGATTCCCTTTTAGCTCCTGCTTTCAACATTTTCTCTCCTGGGTAGCATTGTCGCCCAACCCTCCAAAAGTAGGAGAAGAACGGCTAAACCCCCATAAACCTCAGGCCCAGGCTGAGCTTCAGCTTCGACCTGTCTCTTCCCCCATTGTCACCCAGAGAGAGAGAGAGAGAAATGCATGATTCTAGCTATAACCAAAGAAACAGAAAGCACTGGATTACCTTGAAAAAACAAGAAGAGAAACAGAGAGGGGAAAAGAAACGGAGGCTTGAAATAGCAAAACGAACGAATAGAGAGAACGGAATGAACGAACTGGAATGGAAGAAAGATGAAAACTAGACAGCCTTATATAGTAGTTGTAGTTCTAACCCAGATGGAACTGAAATTCTTAGCTAAGCCATTGGCTGATAAGAGATGAAATACAAAAAGGGCCAAGCTGTTCCCACACCCAAACCTCTGGTTTTGCCGTTCCATTCACAAAACCACCCTTTCTGCAATCCTGCGGTCGCCGAATCTCTCAACCACTGCGCCATTATTCTATTCTTTTCCGAGACGGGATATGCTCCTCACAAATTGGCGTCTCACGTACACATCCACCGTGAATTGAGAACGGGAGATATTCCCAATGGATGATAGGATATGCGTGTGAGGCGCCTTGAGGTGCCAGGTGTGAAAAGTAGATTCGGTCTCTTATTTTCCACCTTCTTATCAAAAGAAAAAACAGGGATCCCAAAAAAATCTATTATTTTCCACTCCATTAATCTGTTATCTTTATTTTTTTCTTTCCACTTTTTGCATAGATCGTACCATTGAAAACGAAAATCCATTTTTACCTCTTCTTATACTCTCTCTCTCTCTGTTCACGTTGGAGGGTGCAACAATGTGATGTTCCTGGTTCGTACGTGCGACGCGCACGGTGTGCGGTAAGTCTAATAATAACCGCTCAATGTTCGTGTTTTTTCTGAAAGTCTGAACTCTGAAACGTGGAGAATGCTAGCGCCACGAGCAACTAAGTGGGCCCCATAGAGATCCATTTTAAGTTGGCCCAACATATGATAATACATCATCAATGACGTGACCGAGGCAATATCGTGGAGATTTTCTTGCCCAGAACAAAACATGAAAACCATGTTGTTTTTTATTTTATTTTTCCTAACAAATAAAAAGTGTCCTTTTTTTTCAGAATATTTCTATTAAAAAAAGAAAGAATTTTTTTCGAGCACGAGAAAGAGTACTGTACAAGTAGACTGCATTCACAAGTCAGATTAATCCACCCAACACCTGGGTTCCCTGAAGGATCTGACGGTCAAATTCCATTGCAGAAATCAGCGGCACTTTCCCTCGGACATACTGGCAGTTTTTGAATATGACGTGGCTAGTTGTGGTTTGGGATGACAGAATTTATCCAATAAAAAAAAAGGTTTTATTTGTTTATTTACGTCGTCAGATCATGCGGTGGAGAACTGTTCCACTACATCGTCAGTGGACCAATCAGCGTTCGTCTCAGAATGTTGGATACTCAGAGAAGGAGGTAATTTATGCGGGGCCCACAAAAGAGAGAAAACATAGGCATTGCCACGCTGGTTGGCACCTTTCTCTAGTTGTCAAATTAGAATGCGTGATACGTGGGGCCCACCCCTTACGGGTCAAGTCCAACGAAGACGTTTCTGATCACTTTGGTGGTGTTCGGTCCAACTTTTCATTTTCAACCCATTTGACAAATATACGACCCGGTCAGGCCCGGTGGTTAGCCGGTCCTATCGGGTCTATCTATCCGACCGAATGGAGCGGTTTTTTTATTTGAAAAATAGATCTTAGGGTGGGGATAACTTATGTATCAGGCTAAACTCGATTTTTTCCAACCCATTTATGAACTTATGTATTAGGCATTGGATGAAATAATATTTTAAATTTTATGTAAAAAATAATTGATATTTCATGTATTCTTTCCATATCATAGATTTTCTCTTACATATTTTAATTAAATAATTAAAATTTTTAATACTTACATATACTATTTTGCTTATTTATTGTTTAAATGTGGATTCTATATCCAATCCACCCACCCCTCAAATTCCGAAAAAGTAGGGTTCGAAAGGGTTTTAAAATTTTCACATGCAAGAAAAGTTTGGATTTTGAAAATCCAGTTTCATATAGGTTTTGTAGAAAATATAAATAAAAAAAATCTAAAAAAAGGTAAATATAATTTAGAATTTACAAAATCTTCCCTAAATCAATCTTATAATCAGCAAAATTAAATTAGACTTAAGTTTGATCAGACTTGGACTGAACCGGATGATCAGATCATAGAGCTTAGAGCAAAACGAATTGCGGAATGCCCGGTTCTTACAAATGTGGATTTGGTCAAAATTAATGTAAAGTTTCTTTCATGCGCGTTTCTCCTTTGAATCTTGGGGCAAAGTGGATATAGATGGCAAGAATTCCATTTAACGAAAATGATTGGTCCACCCAAATCATTCCAAATTCCATCCAATAGATAGAAAACGCGGCTAAAATCCATCATGGAACCAAACGGTAAATTGTTGGACCCTACGAGTTACGAGTTACGACTTCTTTACTGCCTCTTCTTTTCTCCATTAATTTCTCCCGTCTCCACCAAAGGTTAGCTATTAGTCTATTACGTACCTCCTCTGAATTATTGCGAAGAGCAATTTCTCCCTTATCATGGAAAAGAACCTTCGTCTTCTCGAATTTTTTGTTCATTATTTTGATAAGTTGGATGGGTTATCTTTATCCCAACCAACCCACCCACGTATAAAAAAAGAAATAAATAAACAATGAAAATAATCTATTGCCTCAGGATAGGAACCCTGGAGCACACCCAATTAGGATTAGCTCTACTCTAATTACTGAGTATGATTGATAGTGTCATCTACCATTCACCGAGTAGGACCCATTCGGGGCTTTGATAATCCTCAATATGGGCATAAAAAAATAAAGAGATAATTAGCATATGTTTGTAGTTTCATAACCTTTTTAGTCCCATTTAATTTTTGGGAAGTTATTTATCTAGGTAAATGTAATGATTTGTTCAAGTGTTTCTTGAAAAATATTTATCTGGGAGTAAATATATTTATTTTTATTCTTTTATTTTGTAGGTAAATAAAATAATGGCTATTTTAAATTATAAAAAAAAAATCATTATTGAAAGGGGCAATATTATTCTATCTAATTGTTGGCAATTCTCCCTCAAGATAAGGGTGGATTTGAGTCAAACATCTAGATACTCAAGCTCAGCTAACCAATAAAGTATGAGGCTCAAGCTTGAGTCAAGCTATATATATGTTTGTGTGTGTACTAAGTTTCAAGAGTCAAGCTTAATACACGAGCCCCTCCTATATTAGGCTCGAGCTTAGCTTAAAGTTCTCTTTAGATCGAAAAGAATTGACCTATTTATGAGCCAAATTCGAATACCTCATGAAAAGCTCAGCTCTTGCCCACTCCTACCTTTTTATAGGAGAGCAATTTATCCACTTAGGAGATTACCTTGATAAAAATATTATATGAACCCCACATAAATCTAAAAGAAAAAACATGAATAATTCTATTGAGCAACGTTCTTTCTCAAAATCCAAAAAAACGAACCGGTCTTATATATATTTTATGAGATGCCCCCACATAATACAAATAAACCATCTGCTAAGAAAGTATTTAGGGCTTGTTTCATATGTACATTAATTTTTTTTCCAATCTTCATCTATCATCTTATTTTTATTTTCTTCCCCATTGATTTTCATGTCTCCCAAAATCAGATGTCAAATAAAATATAAAATATCGATACACCCCAATCAAAAGGGATGTATCAGTACTTGTGAATTTATGATACCGTCAAATACTTCGGCCGAATAAGATCTTGACATGTGGTGGACCTCGAAGACAGGGGCAAAGCCAGGGGATCAGCAGAGCCATGGCCCGTCCGAAATCTCTATTTGTAATACAGTCTTTCTTATAAAATTCTCCTCATACTCTTTATCTAATAGTTGGTCCCCTATGAGCCCATTTATATTTATTACCGTCTCTTTCTTTCAGTCAACTTTACATTTTGACTCCCCCTCATAAAAAATTTCTAATTCCATTTTTTACCAACAATTTACTTCAATTCTAAAATTCACTCTTTATCTTAATTGCTAAATTTACAACTACCTTTGCAACACTTTGAATAGTGCACTTCTTTATTTTCAATACTTTTTCGAAATTTCAAAGAAGGGTCCATTTTATGCTATTTAATTTATTAAAAAAGAAAAGATTTTTCTTAAACCCCTTAAAATAGACGTATTGACTTATAAAAGATAAGATATCGAAATTTTGAACTTGATGCCAAGAGAAAACAATACCGGTTCAGCCAGTTCCAAGTCCAACAAAGGATTAGGGCAGCCGATAAATGTGAATGTCAAGATCAGGATATAACTACAAGTGCCCACTTTCTAAAGTGAATCGCACAGTCTTTTTCTTTATGAAATATGCCAACTGGCTCACTGGTAAAATCCTTTCGTTGATTGCAAGCAGTCCGGATGAGCTGGAGACAAAATTATACACACCCGGCTGAACTATCAATCACGGTTAAATATATTAGTGTTCATTGTAGGTTCATATGGGACCCAGTTATACTGAACAATAACATGTTCAACCATGATAGGTAATTCAGCCGGATGTGCATGTTTTTGCCTCCAGTTTTCAGTTGAGGCCATCCCAGCCATATTGTATTAGCCAACTTTCTTAGAGGAAAAATCTTTCATTTAGGGTTCGAGCTTACAAATTTTCGTTAGTTGACACTCTTTGGTTTGATATAATTCTTAAAAAAAATAATTTTTAAAAACTAAATGAAATTTATTTATTTTATAATATTTACACATTAATTAATTAATATTGTTTAAAAAATATATGCAAATTCTTGGGTAAAATGAGTATTAAATAGTAAATGTGGCTAATTATGTTAGTTGATGATGTCGGTGGGTGTATAAGAAAACCAGTTCTGGAACTTCATGCATAACTTAAAACCACGTGAAGTGAAGAATCACGCAGTGTCCCTCAGGGTGGGGTAGAGTGCCCTCAAAAAGACGGACAGTGTGCTATCTGTTGGGCCATGGAACTCCGAGGGAGCGGAGTATTTAATAGTAAATATGGCTAATTATGTTAGTTGATGATGTCGTTGTCACCTGAACTAGTACGGCCTTAGCGGTAGCGGCAGCCCGCCGGGTCTAACAGCTTGGCCGCTTGGGCATCAAGTTACACAGAAAGTTGCACAAGGTGGCTGCTATGGGCCTACCGGAAGTTGGCCTAGCCAAAATTTTCCTGTCACCTGAAACCGTACGGACTCAACTTGTCTAACAACTTGGGCATCG